AGACCCCAGTTGCACGCAGGAGAGTGAGAATTTGCGTTTGTCCTTGCCATTCACTTTGATCTTGGCAAAGAGGTTTATCTACTGCCTATGCTTTCCAGACGTATTCGACAGAATGTCCGCTTGTAACTCACTGCGGTCGAAGGTGGTTGCAGGTAACGGTTCTCTGGGGATTGACCCATTCGGAGGTGTCCTAGGTGCACTATGACAATCTCTTCTCCAGTCTCTAGTCCGCACCATGGAACGGTGCCTCATTTCGTGGAGAAACACTACTATATAGTAACTTACATACTTATAAGGATGTTGTCACATAAGAACAATTGCGAAATGCTTACGCAGCATGTATAATAACGTAAGTAACAGGCAATAGTTATATGGTAATATCAGAACAACAGTCTGTTATTTACTATGCTAAATACTGATTTACTGATAACTATACTAATCATACTGCTGTACTGAATTATTAGCAAAGCTACACTATGCGATATTCATTGAAAGAAGCCTCTAATCTGCGGCGCAACCTATTTTCAAAATCTATGGATTCACGAATGGCAAAATTATATTTTTTCTGTTTGAACGATAGGTGCATTAAAAAAAACTCGATATACATGGGCAAACTACTTCCTTCACTCTTCGGGTATAAGGCAAAATCTAACGTGCGTAAATATTCATAGGTTTAGCAAAAAGAGAAATAAATTTCAACAACAATCCCAAGGATAAAAGTTTAGACAAAAACCTTCGACAAATCGCCAACCTCTCTCCGCAGTACGATGAGTGAACTATTGAAAGAAAGAATAATGTAGTCTTTAAACCCCTTAAGTTTCAATAATTAACTTTGATAACTGTATTAAAACAGAAATTTGTGCCAAACCTACTAGCGGAGATGATCCAATACAAGCATAATTCATCTTGATACATTTCAATTAACACAGCGACATTAATAATGAATATCTAATAACTACAAATTTTACGGGTAAAGCTGCCGAAAAGAAACTTCGAAATGGCGAATTTCTAAAAGAAGGAACATAGTTGGTAACGAAACATGTTAATAAAACTTTTTTATCTCTGATATATCTGTTATAAGTTCAGGCTTCCTAATCAAGCATCAAGAATACTATCCGTTGAATGAAGAAACCAAATTAACTTTAACAGATAATGGCAAAAGAGAAACCCATTTAGTTCAATAATAACATATTAGACCGTCAAACAATAAACCTTCAATTCAATTATTACAGCAGTACTGCAAATAACAGTATTCAAGATCTAATTAATATTCGGCTAGTGTAAAATATAATCAAAGAACACAATGAAAATTAAATAACGAATTAAACAACATCTATGTAATACATGAAAGTTTCAAAAAAGATAACGACTGATTAATTAATATGTTGAAAACAAAGACTATTGATTAATTCCAGAAACTATCATATAACTGTGATTTCAACTGATGCGATACTTAAGGAACCAGCACACGCTTTCGAATTGGTGAAGATGGACGATCACTGAGGAGTTTAAGCGGAATATTTAAAGTAGACCATCTGGCTGATAACGAAGCTTTGCCTTACTTCCAATTCAAGGTACAATGTGAAAAAGGTTGACGCTCACAGAACACCATCGCAGAAAGATTGCCTCACTCAAATGACAGAGAACAACAACATGCTCAGCAAAGAAGTGGCTGAAAAGATGCGT